GAAGTAGAAGACACGACTGAATTCCAACATTGTGAAATTAAATCCTGTTCAATTTCCACTCCCCTGGTCCAGGACTTTCCTGTTGGTGTTTCAGTCTCTCCCTGCCATGGCAACCTTTTTCAATGCTTTGTCTGTCATCAGTATCTTTCTATTTTTATGTCAAGTCCTTCCCAAAGTATTAATTCCAAAGCCAATCTGGGAGATATTTTACTAGAAATCTGCCCTCTGCCCACTATTTCTCATGCAAGTGCCACCTGCTTTCTAGTTGCTCATATCCTTTACAGTTCTCCTTTTCAACTTCATCTTCCACTGAAGTACTTGTTTCCTGTGGTGTGTCATATCTCATGCACTATGTTTATCTGGGTGAAGATCTGACACATAGGCTTGATCTACAGAAATGGCTTATTTTATTCACAGACGAGGTTGTCTGGGTATGAGCTGTGCTTGGTAAGTGACATGTTTATTTATTTTTCAGTTGCACCCACATCTATTTGTTTTCTTTCCTTCAGACTGTTTTCTAAAGCCTGGGTAATGCTGATGTCAGCCTAGCAGGCTTGTTGCTGCCTGAATCCTGTCTCCTGGCCAAACTTTTCAACTCAGGCACTGGATTTGCTGTTGTGGTTGCAGAGAAAGAACCTCCCTCCTTTCTTAAGGGTCTCTGCAGCCAAACCAGCAAATTCTTTCACTGGTGATTCCAGAAGTCTGGAATGGGCATGATCCAGTCTTTCCCTCAGCTCACACATCTGGCTGTCTTTGCAATCAGCTAGTACACCTAAATAGTCACAGCTTTAAAATCTGTTCCCTTTTCCAAGGAGAGCTGGCAAGTCAGTGAAACCTGGGATCCTGCTGCTGTGTTGATGTCACGCTGCAAGACAATAACTTTAGTTGTGATGGGACAGCACTAAAATCTGGGGTGCAGGGGGAAAAGAGGGAGGAAGCATGGCGCCTTTTTAAGCTCCAAGAGAAAGTCTGAAAGCATGTGTTGCACAGGAGACTCAAAAATGTGCCTGAGCTCCCTTTCAGGCTCAACTCATTCAGTGATTTCTGGTCAGGGTCTCAGCATGGGAGTTCTGGTCTCTTGCTCTGCATCACACCTATTCCCTTTTCTCATGTGCAAGGGACAAATATGATACTTCCTTCTGCCTGTCTCAGTGAAAAACATTTTGGATTTGCATCAGGGATATGCACTGTTTTGATACTTCTTACCCAAATAGTGATCCCGCAGCTGCCAAGGGTTGATGCTTTTTCCCCTTGAGGAAGTTGATATGCCTTGGCTAAGCAACATCCCTGCTTTCAGATGCAGTTGTGGCAATGCTAAATTTCCAAGCATTACCACTGCATGTGGTGGAATCTGGGAGCCTCAGAAACAAGCTGTAAAGTCAGGAGAAAAGCCAGGATGTGAAGATCTTGGCAGCTCCTCCATGATGGAATATCCTGCTGTACTCAGGGCCATGGTGCCAAAATGCAGCACAAACTATTGATTTACTCGGATGATACTCCCTCCTCAACACTGTAATTTATTTCAGTATTCCTTGGCCTTCCCAAACTGGAGTCCCAAAATGGGGAGACACCCTAGAATGGGAACAAGCTGTGTGATTGAGTGATAAGGTGGTTGGGGTGAGGCAACCAGGGAAGGTGGGGGTTGTGTTCAGCTTGGGCCTGAACTGTGTTCATAGAGTTGCATGATGAGGACTCAGAGTCCGGTGACAGGGGAGGACTGGAAGAGGACTGGGAAAGGAGTGCATGAGCAGTGATGTTACAGGAGGCAGGCCTGAAGGATGGTGAACAAGGGATGGCCACATCTTGGGGTCATGGGGCAGAACTATGTTAGGTGAGAAAGCTGGATCTTAGTGAGGCTGGACTCTGTTAAATCACCATCTACAGACTGCTCCTGGCTCAAGAGGATTGCAGCAGCCCTGGCCTGCTTACCACTGTGATGGCCAGTGTTGCTCTGCCATGTTTTTGGGGTGCTTTGGACACAGGCAGCCCAGGCTTGTCTTGGTCAGCCACAGGCACCTGCAGCTGCCCTGACCCAGCCCTGCAGAGAACAGGCACTCTGGTCCCATGGGACACACACACACCAGCTGCTGCCCTCCCATGCACTGGTGCCTCGTGGAGCTGTGCTGGGCTGCAGCTGCATCTCCCCATCTGCTGTGGAGCTTAACACTGGCTTCAAAAGTCATCATCATGGCCCAGCCAGGATACTGTTTGCTTTTCTCCTTGGGACGCTTTGTGTAGTGCAAGCAGACAGTTTCTGAGTGCAGAGATTTCTTGCAGTGCAGCCTTGTAAAAACCTGCTGCTGGGCCAGACACTCTGAAGGGTTTGGCAGTGCCCTGGCAGGGATGGTGTCATCGCTTTGGAGTGCACAAGCCATCAGGATGCAGTGAGTGTGGAGTGCCGGCGTCTTCTCCCTGCCAGCTCAGCACTCCAGGCCTCCTCCAGCTGCATGGGAGCAGTCTGGCAGGGGATTTTTCCTTTTTTTTTTTTTTTTCCTCTTTCCCTTTTTTTCTGGAACCCTGCACAGCAAGAGCATAGAGGGGATCCCAGGGGGTTTGCTGCTAACCAGAGAAGACGCCTCATTCTCTGACAGATCTTGCGCTGGGGAAAGGCTGTAGAAAATCCATTTTGGAACATCTCTGCTGGGGCTTTTGGTAAGAGTCCTGCAAGGTGCAGCAGCCGCTGGCCAGGCTGATTCCTCTGAAGAAAAGAGGACTGAAAGGTCAGAGCATGGATGTGACCTGGCCGACCTCTGCTCCCTCTTCGCTTTACTGCAGATTTGCCTTTTGTTCAGCCTGAACAGCCTCCTGCTGAGCCAGTGTTCCTCCAGGGCCATGACCTGACGCTGCACCAGGCATTGAAGCCTTTCCCTGGGATGTTTCCACACTCCCTTGCACAGCACCAGCACGAGCTATTTGCATTTCTAGCAGCTTTAAGTCAGCCTGAACCACCCAGGGTTTGCTTCTGTCCTGGTGAGAAAGGTTCTGGTTGATGCACGTGTTAATCTCGAAAACAAACGCCTCCACATTGTTTTTACTAAATATAGGACCAGTGTCTGCTGCGGTGCAGGGCACTGCAGGCAGCCCACAGTGGGGTCACACTCCTACATTGAACAGGAGTTTATCAGCCCCAGACAGGAAAGACTCTCAAGTTTAATGGTCTCTGCTCTCAGATTTGAGCTGCAGTGAGTTGAGTTTTCAGGGCTGATCTCATTCCCTGTCATTTGCAGAGGGCTGAGCCTGGAAATGTGAAACGGGGCCCCTCTGGGACAAGCATCTCAGCCCAGCACTGTACGTTGGATTTTCTGCTTATCTCTCATTAGCATAGATGCCATTTCATCCTCCTGTGGGGTAACTGATACAGGGGATTGAGGAAGAAACTGTACCTTCTCGTTGAGTCACATCTTGATCAATCCAGTCCTGCAGGAAGTGTCATTTCTCACAGACGCGCAAGCATTCAGGCATTGCTGATGAAATCTTGTGAGGTCAGGCAGTCACTTCCTCCTAATTGCAGCTCCAGGAATGAATTATCTTTAGCTTAGACCCTGGTTACTTTGTGCTTTGGAACGGTTTTCATTTAAGCAAAATACAAGCGCATGAAAATGGTGATGGGATCTGGATTTTTCCTACTGATTATTTTGGTTATACAGATACCATCTGGGGCATGTATAACAAATTTGGGTTTGTTTGGTGATGATCAGTGAGCAAAAAGATCCAGAGCCCCAAACTGTCATGCAAAAAGCCTCTATTAGAAACATACATATTGCTAGAAATGGCTTGTGTCACATGCTTTTCCCAGGAACTTGGAGGACTGGAAGAGCCTCCCAGGCCGCAATCTCCTGAATGGTTCCTATCCTCCCCTTCAGAAATAACATCATCTTCCATTTTAAAACTCATGTTGTGATTTCTTCTGTGGAAGCCAACTCCAGGGCTGCACAACCCCATGGTTATAAATCTCATGTGAAAACTGTTGTGGCATCCTCTACCAACAGGGAGGGTCAGAGACAAGAAGCAGAGGGTGCGTGAGCTGTGGGACAGCTGCTTAAAGGTATTACTGCAGGCGAGAACGTGTGCTCCTGCCGTGACTGGCTCCCTGCATTAGGTTTGGGATATCCAGGCCACATGGTTCTATTCATGCTGTGCTGGAAATAGGTCCCTGGGGCCAAGGAATGGCAGCTGAAGCAGATGCTTCATAGCCTGGAAGGTGGTTGCATCTCTACATTATTTATGAACATGAAAGCTTGAGCAGCTGTCACCAACTGGGTGTCCGGTGCCACATTCATGTCTGGCCAGATCCAGCCCTGGCTTTGGTGTTGCTGGAAATGGACCTCTGAAATGAAATCAGCCAATCTACAGGACAGGGAAGGGCAGAGAAGACTGCTTGGGTGTCTGTCTTCAGCTTCAAACACCAGAGGAGATGGTGCTGGTTTAGAAGGGAAGAAAAAAAAAAAATAGCAAAAATGAATCTTAATTGATTTACTAGTCAGACAAAGAACCTGACCAATTTGTCTGTTCCTGTCCATGTCTCTGAGCCTGGAAGTGCAAACTCTGAGCCTGTGGGGGCTCAGCACAGAGCTGCTGGTGTTGGATCTGCCCCTTCCCTCTGCCAAGCACAGATGCCATCTCATCCCTCACAAGGTTGTGGAAATGCTGCCTGAGGTCCTGTCTCCTCCTGGGTCATTCCATCAACAATGCAACCTGCACACAGTGGCATTTCCCAAATGCACATGGATCAAACTGTTCCCAGTTGCTCCTGAAATTGTAACAGGATGTAATCTTTATTTATGGTCTTTTATTTGTTAAAGATTAGGTCTGGAATCCTAGCTGCAGATTTTGTTGAAATGTAAGAGGGAAGGACAAGCATTGCTTGAACATCACTTCCAGAACCAGGTGGATTTGTCTCTTCTCAGGGGATGTTGCCTTCTTCCAACCTGAGCATCTCCAGAGAAGGTGAGGGAAGCAAACCCTTCCAACTCCTCTGATTTTTCTCTCTCCTTTTCCAGCCTCAGAAGACGGAGCTATGAGATCCACCTGGCAGGGGAAGGCCGGTCGCAGCCCACTCCAGGCTCTGTATGAGAGTTACCAGGTAAGGGGAAGGGGAGATGAAGATAGTGGGGTGAAGATGAAACTGCAAAAGGTGTTTGGGTCCTTTTGCTGTGTATCCCCTCTGGGAGGGCAGTTTTCCCCTCATGCAGCCACACATCCTTTTGCAGAGGGATCCTCACCCACAGCTTCCCTGCAGGAAGTCCTACAGGAAACCACCCTCCAACCGGTGCAACAGGCTGGGCCTTGCCACATACCCCAGCCACCAAATGTGCCCTTCATCTCCCTGTGTTCATGGGACCGTCATCTTCTGCAGGGCAAAGGGCGATGCTTGTGTTCCCTGCAGTGGGCTACCATCCCTGCTGCCTCCCCACTGCCCATCAGCACTGCCCCATACAGGTGGAGCTGGATCTCCTCTCCATTTGTGATGCTTTGTGTTACTGTCTAGGTTGATGCTTTTATGACTGTAAGCAGCCAAAGTACGTTTGCTCTCTGAGAAATGGCAAATATGGACTTCCTCGATCACGCTGCTGGCAAACCTTAATGCTGCTGGAATGTCATGGTGTTATTTCCTTAAAAGTGATGCTTAATTTCCCTGGCTTTTAAAGAGAAGGAAATAAAGGGAACAATTTTGCTCTGAAATAACTGCAAGACATGCACTTATTCCAGTGGGCGGCTGTTGAAAAGTAGTCACATTTATTTTGTTGCCATGCCTGCAGACAGTGTCTGTCTGTCTGTCTCTCTGGTCCAATAGCTTTGAATTATGCAAGTGCAGGGAAAAACACCTGAAAAAAAATCACATTATTAAAATGCCTCTTTTTTAAGCCCTTGCAGAAAGACTTTCCAATTTTAAAAGGCAACAGGGAGGCCCCAAACAAAAGAAATTTTTATTGAAAGGTTTGGCTGTGTCACAAGACGTTGTACCATGAGAATGCCTTTTCAGCTGTGCTTATCACCTCCCTAGGTGCTGTATTTTCTTCATAGCCAAGTAGCCAACAACATCAGAGTCCTATTTTGGTGGCAGTTAGCATCTGTTCACCTGCATTTCCTCCATCTGAGCGTTTTCCCTTATAATCTCCCTATTGGAAGGAGCAGGGATGGGATGCTTTCTCCTACCCCTGTCTCAGGTTACTGCCCATGCAGGTTCCCAGAGAAAGTAGTTGTTAAACTGACCTGGACAAGGTTCCTTCTTTTGTGGAAATGAGATCCAAAAGGGTCCAAGTGTGGTTGATCCCTTGCAGGAGGAGCTTTTTACCCAGGTGTTAGTGCCTCTCTGAAGGAGACAAATCTGATGGATCATTCACAGGCTGGGCAGTTTGTCTCAGTATCCTGGCTTCTTTAAGGTGCTTTACAAACCCTGCCTCTCCCAGGCTCTGGTGCATCCCAGTCCAACTTACGGTCCATCAGGGAACAGTGAGGGTGCACCTGAATCTTGGCAAAGGCCGTGCCTTGGCAGTGACAGCTATCAGCAGCAGGGGTGTAGGGACCAAGGACATGGCCTGCCCTTGCCCTCATCTGGAGGTTGCCACGTCTCTCTGGGTGGCAGAGCTGTTTGCTGTGGCACCTTGGGACACTGGCAGGACTGTCTTCACAACCCCAAAGAGGGACCCCCTGTTGTCTTGCGACATGGCAGTAATTGCACGGCATGAGAGCCCTGTGGGGTCAGAGCTGTCCCGGGCTGGCTGGCTCGTGGTGGAGCCGTTAGCGGTCATGGCTGGGAAAGGCTGTTGGATGTTCCCAGCAATGACGAACACGAAACCTCCCAACCCTCGTGAGCAAAACGGGCAGTGAGTGGGCAGGAGGAGGAGGGGACCTTCCCCTTCTGACTTCCTGGAAATGGTTTTCCTTCCTCAGATGTTTTAATGACATTTTGGGATTTCTGATGAAAAGCATGACAGGAAAGGTCACGTCCCCAGATCTGAAGGTAGTGTTTCAGCTGGGCAGTGGTTAGGGGGCTCTGGTCTCCTCAGAAGTCAGTGCAGCAGCTGCCAGGCCTTGATGCTAGAGTCAAAAGGGATAAATGACTATGTCTTAATTCCTTGCCTCTGCAAAAAAAGAAACTGTGACCAGAGCAGAGGTGTTGGAATGGCCTGTGTAAAAAAAGTCCCTCAGGAGAAGGTACCCAAAGCCTTCAGGAAGGGTCCCACCACCATCTACATCAGCACCTTGCTCCTCTGCATCATGCCCTGCCACCCCACCTCACCTCCAGCTCCCTCCTCCCCACTCTCCAGGGTTGGACTGTCAGTGTTAAAAACCAGTTCCCTCTGCCTCTCCTTGGCAGCATAGCTGTGCCTTTTCCACCAGTGCATACCTGAAAATGTGTGCCACTCTTGGCTGGGGTGTTCACAGGGAGCCCACAGCTGTAGATGTCAGTGCAGTGCAGCAGGAGGGGCCCTGCAGCAGCCAACAGGCTGCAGTGGCTGCCATGGGTCCATGCACGTCCCACAGACTGGTGTAAGGGAGAACACATTAGCCCAGTGTGTGTGGGGGGGTGCTTTTAAAAGATATCCTCTTACTGACCCTCTCTGCACCGCCTGTTCTTCCCTCACCCTCTTTGACTTGTCTCCTCACCCAGCTCTTCATCATGTTTTGTCCTCTCTTTTGCCCCCAGCCTGTCCAAGGATTAAATGCTCCAAATCTTGTTCAAAGTCAATGCTGGCCCCAAAAATCTTACATGGGTGACTGCCAAACCCAGAAAAGGGGGGGGAATGGGGACAGCTGTGGGTCAGGCCTTGTGTGTAGGCCACAGTTATCTTGGGCAAACTGGTGACCATCTCTGTTGTTTTTTTCACCCCAGTTTGAGCAGTCGACACTGCAGGCGGTTCACCATCAGAGACGGGAGACGTTGAGCAATGTCTGCAACCGTTACACCCGCAAGCGGCGCCTCCTGCAGCGGGATGACTTGCGGCATTTGGTGGTGGATGACACGCATGGGCTGCTCTACTGCTACGTGCCCAAAGTGGCCTGCACTAACTGGAAACGGGTGATGATGGTCCTGACAGGGCAAGGCAAGTACCAGGACCCACTGGAAATCCCCGCCCACGAGGCCCACGTCCCATCCAACCTGCGCACCCTCTCCGAGTACAGCGTTCCCGAGATCAACTACCGCCTGCGCAGCTACCTCAAGTTCGTCTTCGTGCGGGAGCCCTTCGAGCGCCTGGTCTCAGCCTACCGCAACAAGTTCACCCTCAGCTACAACCAGGCCTTCCACAAGCGCTACGGGACCAAGATCATCCGGCGGCACCGGCAGGGGCCCAGCGACAAGGCCCTGGAGCGCGGGGACGACGTGCGCTTTGAGGAGTTCGTCTACTACCTGCTGGATCCGCGGACGCAGCAGGAGGGGCCCTTCAACGAGCACTGGGAGCGAGTGCACTCGCTCTGCCACCCCTGCATCATCCACTACGACGTGGTGGGCAAGTATGAGACCTTGGCTGAAGATGCCAACTACATCCTCCAGCTGATTGGGGCCGACACGACCGTCAAATTCCCAGCTTCATCCAAGACCACCAGGACAACGGACGACATGACGGCCCGGTTCTTCCAGGACATTAGCCCCTTCTACCAAAGAAGACTCTTTAATTTATACAAAATGGACTACTTGCTTTTCAATTACTCCATCCCCTCCTACCTCCGCATCCGATGAGGCAGGGACTGGTGGGGAGAGGTGAGGAGAGCTGGATAACTCTCATCTTGCCACAGTTCCTCTCCTCCCACCTTGTTCTCATCTCTTGGTTGACTTCTTCCCTGTGCCCTCTCATTAGGTCTGCTCCAGATCCTGATGCTCTGGAGGGAGGATACCTCTCAAAACACCAAGGTTGGAGCTTTTCCCTTCCTTTCCCTCCCACCCTTTAATATCTACAGGAAATGGCAGTGGGATGGGAAACTGCTGGGTAGGAGGGCTTGCCTTGGTTGGGGACTTTCTTTTAACTAAGGGACTCTTCTGTAGATCCAAGTCTTGGGAAGGCTCCTTTTTTGGGCAGGATCCCTTTGGGTCTTTCTCCTCCTTACTGGGCTGTTTAGGGGCAGACATGGCGTCTTGGGGGTCAGGGTGGAGTGTGTCAGAGACTTGCATAGAACCAGAAATAAAGCAATAACTTAATGTAACTTTTTCCCTTTGTTGAAAATTGCTCCCACCTTTTCTTTTTGCCTTGTTCTCCTGTGTCCTTGTCCCACTTCCCCCACCATTCCCCATTGCTGGGGAAGGCAGAGGTGTGTCACTCTGACCACACATTTCTTCCTGACAATACCTGGAGGGCTTTTTTGTTCCTCTCCACATGCTCTCAGTTTGAATACAAAATATGCCAAAGAGAGAGAGGACATTTTTTGCAGCAGATCCACAGTGCTTTCTCCTGCCTCCAGCAGCAGAGTGCTCAGTGCCTCTGTGTGTGTGCATGTCTCTGGATTTCTGGTCAAATCCAGCCCCCACACCCCCTGTTTTTTTTTTTTTTAAACAGCAGGTGATAACTGTTGTGTAAAGCCAGATGGGTGCAGGTGTCTGCTCACCATCCACAGTGTCCTGCCTATGGCCTCACTGGTCAAGCAGGACCTCCCTGGCAGCGCTGGCTTCTCTTCCCCTGGCACCATGTGCTGCTCCCATGTTTTTCCAGTGCCTCCCACACCATTGCACTGGGAAACTGAGGAGGGTGCTGGGATGGGTTTGAGTTATAAAGTGCTTCGGGGAGCACTGGGCTGGGATGTGGGAAATTGCTGTGGTTATGGAAAGGTGATGCTGGACTGGGAGGCCAGAGAAGTGTCTGTGTGTGTTTGTGTCTGTTTGTCTGTGTGTATGGGTGCATGCATGTATTTGAGAAAAAATTGAGGATAAAAATGGGGAGAGAGACACCTAGAGGGAAACAACCCTTTGCCTGGCTGCCTTTGGACAATCGTTCCTTGAATTAAAAAAGGGGAGGATGGGGTGAAACACAAAAGAAAATGACAAACCTAGCCCTAGGAGTTTAAATTAAAACCAGTCCAAGGAGCTGTATTTCTTTAAAACCATATTTCAGTCTTCCCTCTCTTCTGTTCAGCTTTGGCTCGGTGACTGCCTTTGTAAATAAACACACTGGTAATAGATGCTGTAGAGTGTGTCTGCTGGCTTGACTGCAAACACTTGACTTATTAGTGCAATACAATGGGAGGTTTTATAAAACCATAGTGCTCTCAGGCACTTTCAAAAACAATGTTTCCATCTAACAACTTTCAGCTGTTACATCTTAACCTTTTTCCTCTCTGCCTCTGATTGGCATCTCTATGCTGACACTCCCTCCTGCTTGCTGCATTTGGAGATTGGGTTTAGCAAAGCAATGAAAAAGAAAAGTAAATGGAACTGCTGGTGATCCTGGCAGTCTGAGTGATTCTCCCAATCTGGACTAGAGATCTTGCAGAAATGGCCTTTCTCATGCTGTCTTAGTATCTCCCTTGCCTGGCTGGAACACAAAGCACAAAACCAGATTATATGATGCAACAAATTTCATCGGCAGCGTTCAGGCTTGGAGTGCGTTCCTCCTGCTTTCTCAGGAGTCTCGTGTTCCCCTCTTAGCACTGCCTCTGCTTGGAAAAGTAATTGTTCAAGTCTCCACAAGATCTTTTCTTTGCTTTTGGTCATGAATCATAATTTGGGGTCAGATGCAAAGTCACAAAGGGACAGATTTTTGGATGGATTTCTTTTTTTTTTTTTTTTCTTTTTGCTAAATACTGTTCCCTGCAGGTACCTCTAAAGAGCTGATGGCACACTGAGTGGCAAGGATAGATGGACTTGCTCCCTGCTGTGCTGTCTGTGGGTGTTTAGGCAACATCTGGCTGTTTGGGAGCCTCTTTGGGCTCTCTTCGGTGCGAAAGTGACAGAAGGGTGAGCTCTGGGCTTTGTTCTTTGGCCAGGTGGTTTCTAGCCTTTCCTGCAATGGTGGTGATGGGGAGATGGTCCCAGTTGTGAAGGACTGTTTAAGTGACAGCCTGTTCCTGGCATCCTCATCAGACCTGACCCATTGACCCAAACAACAGCCCAGCCACACGTGTATGGAGCGACTGCAGCCCTCCAGCCCCAGCCACGGGCTGCTGAAGGCAATACCCTTGGGTCACACAGGACCTCCGAAAATACCCACCTTTGGGCTTTTTCTATAAACACCCGACAACCAGTGTCCACAATCCAACCTTTTTAGGTCATACCCTTGGCTTCCTCCCTGCCTGAATCTCGCTTTCCAAATCAAAACCTGCCCGTGCAAACAGGAAAAAAAGGGCCACTTTGTGTTTGTGAAGTGAACACTTTTCAGCCCGAGCTGGATCTTTCTGGGCCTGGAAACGCTCTGCCTGTGCCAAAGCCGAACAGCCGGGAATGAGACGCTCCGGGGACGGGGTCGGGATGCTGCGGGGACGGGATGCCCGACCCCCTCCCCAGTCCCACCGAAAGCGCTGGAGGACGGGAGCAGGACGGAGCTAGGAGGACCCCGTGTGACCGATGATCCCAACTACAGGCTGTGTGCTATAAGTGTGCTGGGAACGATTTCTCGGAGGGATCCTGATTGCTTGTGCCTTTTTAGCTGTTTCACTGCGTTCCTTTTTAGAGGAGAAAATACCAAGGAAGCCTCGGTCACCTCTGAAGTATAACTGGATTTCGTTTGCTCCTCTACTTGGGAGTGGGAATGTCGCAGTGCCTGATGTGCAACAAGGGCATGGAATACAAGGGAATGCCTGGAGTCTGCCCTCCAGGAGCATGGAGCAGGAGAGTGTTCCCAGAAGGAAGACAGTGGTGCGGTGATGAAGGGCACAAATGCACCGCTGGGATCTCAAACGTGACCAGCATGCAGCCCTGTGGGATGTGTCTGTCTTAGTGGCAATGGAGCTTTGGTTCAGCTGGCCTGTGGGAATACACACCTTGTACTGTGCTGTGCTTTTGCCAAGGTTTGATCTTGAATGGAGGTGAAGACTCTTCTCACGCAGCCTCAAGAGCAGTGAGGTGAAGACAGAACCAACCATCCCTCCAGGAATGAGCTCAACTGCTGCCACGTGGAGAAGGAGCAAAGGGTTAACCCCCCAAGGGCAGAAGGGCATTTCTGTCTGTGCATGGGCTTCTTTCAGTGCCCTTAAAGACAAGCTTTACAGTGCCAAGAAAAAAAAACAACAATTTGCTATTTCTGGAGGGAAATAAAACTTCTCTGCGGTGCTGGTGCCCAGAGGTTACTCTTCACTGACCTCCCACATCTGGGGCCTGGCTAGGAGCAGCTGGGCTGTGGACAAGGAAGGGGTTGGTCCTACAGAAAGCCAAGTAAGGTTGCTAGTGGCTGCTAAAGCACTGAAAGGAGCAGACACCACTGAATGGGTGTGGCTGCCATTAGACCCTATCCCATAATGAGGCAGCTCATCTGCTGTGGGGCTGGGCACTGCATCACACTGACTGGGCAGTGCCATTTTCTGCCCAGGCTGGCGTTCTTACATCAGCAGTGATGGGTTTGGGCAGGAGGACCGTGCTGGCCAAGGGAGAGCTGCCATGGCAGCACCGCCAGGGTCACCCCAGGTTTGCAAAGGAAGCACAAAGATAAACGGAAAAATCCAGGGTAAACACGATGATCACACAGGGCTCAGCCTCAGGGAAGGAATAACCTTGCAAACTCTATTTAAACCCTCCCATCCTAATCCCCCTCATCAAGTGTCTATTAAAAATAAATTATTTAAGCAGCAAAGCATGGCCATTGCCATATGAAGTAGCATTGAGACTTGTGAGTCAGAGAATGCCTGTGTCACAGAGCCAAGTTGGGGCAAGCACAGCATGGGCATGCCTGGGGATAAGTGCCAGTCCTGGCCTCACTGGAGTGAGGACCCCAGTAGTAATATCTAATATCCCTCTGCTTTCAGAAAGGCAGCTGGTACCGTGGGGGTTCCCATCCTGGCCTCAGACAGGCTGCAAAACTTGGGGCCAAGCAACTCCAAATGGGTCAGGTTGGTCCTGGAGTTTGGCTTGGAAGCTAATGGGGAGCTCTCAGAGCACCAGGGACACAAAAGAAATTAGAACAGCCTCACTTTGGCATGTTCATGTGTGCACAGCTATGCAAGGTAAATAATGATTATACTATAAAGTATAATAAAATTATTGCAAATACTTGAAATATTTATAGGTGATAATACATGCATTGCATGTAACATGAATATCTGTATAAAGTATGTATTACATGAATAATTAAAGATCATTTATTATTATGTCTACATATTATATATTAAGTGATTATGTTTGTGTATGGTTATGATAGTTAATAGGCATTTGGCTTATCTATGTATACATATGCATATGTGTACAGCATCATATTTATTATATAAATACAGAGATGCCCCCTAGCATAAAAAAGAGAGTACCTTCCCTTCCTGCAGTGTTGAACTTTGCCACAGTCCAGTGTGGCTTAGCAGTTGATGGAGAGTCTGCTCTTTCCTCCAAGTGCCACTGACGGCTTTGCTTGCTCCAGCCTTTGGAGCATGGTGGGTACTTTGCCTGTGCTGTGGGTATTCCACGCTATGGAGCTGTTGGCCCCATCCCTCGTGGCCCAAGTGAAGCTGTAGAGTTTCCCCGTCCAGTGGAACAAGACAGAGCTTCAGTGATCAGGAGGTTTCCTTCCAGAGCTTGCTGTGCACCACAGATTGGGTTGTTTACCAGCTGGAGGATTAAATAGACTTCTACTGAAAGGGGAAAAAAAAAAAATTGTGTTTTCAAGTATGTCTTGGAAGTGGCGTCTCGCTTGAAGGAGGCTTTTCAGACTTGCTTGTGTTTGCTGGCTGGCACTTCACTTGTCCCTGCTAAGGATGCTGCATCACACATAGAGTTTCTGGAAAATTACTGTATTAGGATAGAGGCAGTGACTGGAAGCTGGGGAGGGGAGAAATATAAATGCTTTGACTATTCCTGAAAACAAACTCCTGTTCCCTTCTGTCTCTACAGAGGGTGACAATCTCTTCTTTGCCTGCAAAAAGAAACTGCTCTGCACCCAGGAATGGGGGAACCCCTGACTGACCTTCCTTCCCAATTCAGCTGGGATCTCCCTGAGGCCTCAACACACTGGCACTGTGGGCAGGCACCCATTCCCTCCCAAACTCCAATGCCCTTCCTCAGCTCCTGTCCCACAACACTGACGTGAACCTGAGTTTACTGGGGAGTAACTAATGACGGATGTCAGGAGTGAACGTAACTGCACTGCTAATACACCTTCTCCCTTTTTCAGGATGTTGTTTACTTGGAAGATACAAGGATGAAATACAAATAAAAGTCACTGCTGGCTCAAACAGAGGTGCTGGTGACTCTGGTGGGGTGGCTCCAGCCTGGTGAGAAGCCAAACATAGTAATGACACAGACACAGCAGCAGAGAAGCCAGGCCCACTGCTGGCAATGACTTCCCCGCTGCGTTAGATTAAAGACAGAAATCACTATGAAATGTCCACACGCTGTCTGGGCTCTGCTACCCACATAGGTTTGCTCTGAAACTGTGAATTTTGTGGAGGAAAAGGAAGGAAAGCAACCCCCTCCCCAAATCTTCTCCCCAACAAAATCACTCGAACACAACACCATAGGGAGCATAAAACCAGGTAGGGCCTTCTGTGATGTACTGAAAACTCTTAAAAGCTGAGGATCCTGCAGGCATTTAAGCACCAAATTTCTGCTTTTCAGGGGAGGGAAGGGGGAGAATGCCTGGATATTTCAGGGGCTTCTGGTCCTGCTGGGATGGCCAGGGGAGCCAGTGTCAGAGAGAGGGAACAGCGCTAACCAGTCACTGGAAGGGGTGGGGGTACTTTCTTAGATGAGCAGGTTCACATGGAGTTACAGGAATGCTGATCCAGGGTTACATATAACCGCTGTTAGCAAATGCCCTTTCTCATTTGCACAGGGAAAAAAAAAGGAGGAAAGAGAAAGAGTAAACAGTCTGAACAGCCAGATAACTAGCCTCTTGCTGCCCTTAAAAAAAGGAAAAAAAAAAATTCCCTCTTATTGAAACCATTTCCTTTGGTTATATCATTTCGCTTGAGGCTGGAAGCAATTTTGAGTCTTAAGTGTGCTCCCTGCACTGTGTGCATGAGCACGAGGCTGAAGCTTGGCTGTCCACCAAGGGGTACCCTGGAGAACAGCACGTCTTGCTGTGCCCTCTGTAATCTCCCCACAAAAGCTCCAAGCCCCAGTGCCTCCCTTCAAGGGGGGGAACCCCACAAGCCCAGCACAGGCAAGGTGCAGCATAGGTCACCCTGGCCCAGCTGAGTCCCACAAGCAGGACACGGATGGCATCCATTATGTGTTCCCATCCATGTCCTCTGTCAACAGTGACAACCAGATTAGGCTGAGTTCTTCCCAGAAATCCCTGATGAAGGGATTTACCAGTACCAGGGCTTTGCTGCAAGTAGATAGAGAAGCAGTTGTGTGTTGGGCAGTGGGAATTGATGCTGGAGCGTGACTGGGGTCCCCTGTAGTCTGCACCAGCCACGGGCTCCAGTCAGGGCTTTTGCAGGATTGGGGGAAGCAAGGGCAAATCTGTGCTATTAAGAGGAAAGCAGAAAAAGTTTCACGTGTTCAGGATCCTGTAGAGGTCTGGGGTGTCTTCAGCAGCTTGTCTTTTGAACCAGCCTTACCTGAGCCACATGAGCAGCAAAAGCACCAAACTCCAGAGAAGACCTCTCCAAGGCAGTGGGGGACACGCAACAAGGAGAAGGAATGCTGGTGTTGAGGCACGAGGAGTTATTTTCCAGGACTGCTCGAGCCAGTGCCAAATTGGAGGAGCTAATAAAGGTTTACAAAATAAAACACTAAGCTCAAGTTATTAAAATATGTACGTAGGCACCCTCTAACGCTCTAACGCAGCCCCCTCAAGACGGGGACTGGCAATCAGACGCTCAATTTGCTTTCCCCGCCGGCCCCCTCAGCTGCTGGGCTGCAATTATCACACGTGGGTGCTCGGGGCTGACGGCGCAGCCGAGCAGAGCCGACATCACACAGGCTGCAGCGGGAGATAAAGCGGCGAGGCCCGAGCTGGGGGAGTGTGTGTGCCTCGAATGCTGAGAGCTCCCCATCGTGAAGCCAGCGTGGGACTTCGTTTATCCTTCAAAACCAAAAAAATGGGGGAAGGGGGAGGCAACAGCTTAGCATTTTTTTAAGGAGTGCTTTTCCCCACACCTGGCAGCCCAGAACTGAACAGCTTCTGCTCTTAGGGGCCTTTAGCCAAGTGTAGATGCCATGCAGGGGCCTCAGCTTTGGAACAGCTCTGGGAAACCAGAGCAGAACCGGAAGCAAAGAAAGACCCAACACCAGCAGTCACCCAATGCAGCTCAGATTTAAGTGGTTTAGAGCTAGCAAGTCCTTGAACAAGGCCCCTGTCTGCCAGCAGGCTGGAGGACTTGACCTCCCCTTTTCCTTCTCCAACAAGATTATTCTTAAAGTTGAGGCCTAGTGACATTTTTCAAAAGTTTGATCCATGTCCTTGACTCCTGACTCTTCAGCATCTTATTATCCAGATGACCCTATTGCTTCTTCAACTGCACTGAAAATGGGATGTTTTCATCCCCACAACCCCTCCCTGACATGTCCCTGACAGCACCAGAGCCACCCTGGAGTGAGGACTGAAGGAGTCATTGGCCACATCTTCGTGCCCAGTCATCACAGCCCAACACAAGCTCTACACACACAAGCAGATTCAAGACTCATCCCAGAGCAATTGTTAATGAGTGGGTGGCAACTGTGGGAGAGGGAATGGGCTTTAATTTTAACCTGAAACATGGGCAGCAAAAGGCTGGTTAGGAAAGGATTTTCCAGAAGCCCTATTAAAATTGCATTGTACAACCCTGAATGGATGAGAAAGAAGCAAGAAGTTCTACCTGACAAGTTAGAACTAGAAACAGGCAGAGTCATAGCAAGAGAAAAACAATCCCCAAATCCACAGGATTACTTTTTTTTTTACCCACTTTATTTATGTGTGTGTTTCCATAAACATTTTAACTACTGGGCATTTCATAAACCGTAAAAACAAACCTTCCTACCCCCAAAATGCAATCAAACCAGCTTGTTGGTCAGAAACCAGTGATGCTGCCAGGGCAGGTAGGTGGTATCCCTACATAACCTCCTGCTGGGTGTGAGCCAGCAGCTCACTGCCTCAGATCCTGAGCGTCTGTCTGACCGATGGAGAGGAGACAAGTTTAAAGACCTAGTTGCTTTCCTCCTCCAGGGATTCAGCAGGAGCAAAGAGGGGTGAATAAAGAATTTCCCTTAAGGGAAAGTCAGAGTTACCAATGGAGGGGCTGCAACATCCACTTGCAGGATCAGGTGCAGTGACCTCGGCAGGCTTTGGAGCAGCCTCAGGGCTCTGTAGGTGGACTGAAACCACCGACCAAAATGCTCATTCATTACCAATGGCCCAAATGCTCCTTAGCCCCTTGTTTGCCAGGTGCAGGTGTGAGAAGCGGGTGCTTCTTAAAACCGGCTCGCTCACTTGCCAGGGTGCAATCTGTGGGTGCTGATTCCTCGGGGCGGGCGAGCCCAGCTGTAAGGCACGATGGGGAGGGAAGGTGTCAGGGTGGCAGGGGAGGCCCAATCCAGCTGGGTGACCCAGCAATCATCGCCAAGTACCCCGTTGTCCCAGAGAAAAGCACCGCATCACACGAGTGATGCGGAGCAACGCGTGGTCTCTCAGTTCCCCAGGTTCATGTCTGCGCCGTGGATGAGCCAAACCAGGTGGAAACAGATGGCCAGGAATCCAGTGCCCAGGAGATCCCCCAGGGCAGTGAGGTAGGGGATGGAGAAATTATCCGGATCCAGAGCCTTCCTCCACATCAGACGCACAATTAGGTCGGCCACATAGAGCAGGATTCCCACCTGGGAAGAGGCAAAAAGGCCCTGCTGTGAGGCAGCAAGAAGGCAACATCCCATAGCTCCCAGACAAAGTGAAATGGTCATGGCCAAGGTACCAGAGCTAACAGGGATCACTGAGAGCTCACACCATCCCCAGAGAAATGCTGTTTCCCTGCAGGATGGAGCTGCACTGGCTTGGGTGTATCTGGTTCCTACCCTTTGGCACTGCATTGCCTGGCACCAGCCACCCTTGGTGCCACTGCCCTGTGCTGCCAGCCACAAGTGTGGAGAACTCCACTTGAACTGCTCACCAGCATCTCCTGCTCAAAACACAAGTCTGGCCACACCAAAAGCATCTCCCAAAGGTACAGTTCCTACTTCCCATGCCTTGAATTGGACTGTTCACATTCATTCCACCAGACACAGGGCTGCTCTGGAAATGCAGGCAACCCCAAAGGATAACTTCTTTTTTCCATTAAAAATTCACATCACATGTGCTTTGTTTTTCCTAAAAGTCTCAGTGGACAACTGGAGTTTGAGGCAGTTTTTACATCAAAGTTATCCCAAGCAGCACTGACATGTTAAAAAAATAAAATAGTTTCTCTTTTTTTTTTATCTCAACAGTTTAAAAATCTTTGTTGTGATTTCTTTTAATTCCTATTTCATTCCCAATTCTGATAAACAGATGGAGGAAAAAAATGCTTCGGTTAAAGATTAAAGACTGTCTTGTTAATTGAATTAAGAAGGGAGATAGAGAGTTTGCTCTCCACATCTGTGGTCCCTCCATGGGAGACCACAGCACATCAGGAACCAAAGCCGGAGGTGGCATTTCTAAAGGTGAAAATTGGCTGAGGGAAAGGGAGGAGAAATGGGGGAAGCAAATTAAATAACAGAATCACAGAAACTAAAGCTGGCTGGAAACTCAAGGGTTTTACACAGATCATTCCTTTGCCTCAGTTCACGATCAAATGTGCCTAACGGAAAATTTGCTTAACCTATGCTAAACAGCCCTCTGAGCTGGAGATGCCACACTCTAAGCAATCAGTCTTGTGGCTTTTTTTTTCTGTTAATGTTTTTCCCAAGGTCTAACATAAATCTGCCTTTTTCCATTTGAAATCCATGATTTCATATTTTCTCCCTAGTGACCACATAGTAAATGTTATTCTGTCCCTCCCTACAGAAATTTGGTAGTTTAAAGGTTATTAACCATATTTTTCTCAGGCCTCTCTTCTTTGGACTAGCTAACCCCAGTGCATTCAGTTATTCCTCTGAGGTCATGTTTTCTAGGCTTCTGATCTTTCTCTTTGGGCTTCTTCCAGCTGACCTAAACTTCTCCCTCCTCTTTCTCTCTGCCAGAGGGGGAAAAAGAACCAGGCTGAATACATTCTCCTCCACTGGCCTTCATGGGAATCTTTTGGGGTCACTGGTGTTGCTGGGATGCTGCTCTTTACACTGTCATTTATTCTGTGTATTTTCATGCTTGGCTTTGGTTGAGGAGTTACCTCGATGCATAAAAAGAAGAATAAATATTTTCCTTTACAACTGTGGCTGTGCTGCTGGGCTTAGGGTTGTGCAAAGGTCGAGAGAAACTGATTGTTTGCACACAGAAGGAATTCACCCGAAGACAGGAGGCTGCTTGTAAGGCAAAGTGAGAGTCAGCCACCTCACCCTGCAAATTAATGAATCACTGATTTAAAAGGGCAAGTGAAGTTAGAGCCTCTGTGAGTTCAGGCAACAGCCACATGCATTTCTGGGTGAGATGACAAAGTTTACAGGGCAGGAAAAACAGAAGAAGAGAACAAGCACAACAAATTGAATGAAATGCCCATTGCCTATCCAGAACTTTTACCTTTGAAGATGAACTGCTCAGGCCTGGGTTTTCCCTCCACTTCTGACCTTCATGGCCCTGCCCCGATGAATTCCCTAGCTCTTCACCTTAATATGTGACACTGGTTTCCAAAATGAGCAGGTTTCTCTGCTGGCTGGAGTTCACTGCCTCTCACTTGCCCCTTGCTGGAATGACAAGTGGCAGTCTAGAAATACTTGGAGCTTAGGGACTCAACGAGTGAACATTTTAAAAAAAGGTACTTGCTTGCTAAATGTGTCTCTGCACACTTACTGCAGCTCAGGGATGATGAGAACTTGTTCCTCATCTCACATCTGATCCCTCACTCACCCTAAAGTGCAGTCATGCTCATATGAGAAACTAGACCCTCACAATTTGGATGAAGTATTACTGGACCCACAGAAGGTACATGATGCTTGGTAGAAGCACACCTGAAATGACAGGAAATGGTGGCTGCTGTTGGGTGTTTTACTGTGACTCCTGTTTAGCCTGGAGAAGGCTTTTATTCTTGCTGTCTGAGAGGTTCCTTTGAGTTGAGAGTTTAGGGTTTACCTGCAGCAAAGCAGCAGTCAGATAGAACATCACAAAGGTGAAGGACAGAGACGTGTGGCCTCCTTGCAGCAGATGGATGGTGTAGAGGAACACGAGGTGACCTGGGATAACCAGGAGGAACAGGACCCGGGCTGACTTGGAATTCACCTCTGCAGAGGACAGAGACAGAAAGAGGGGTAACAGCAGCTGCAGAGGGCGGTGGGAGGACAGGACACAGCTGCATATTTATTGCATAGACTTGGGACTGTCCCCTCCCACCAACTACAGGCTGGTGCCTTTTCTAGATCACACAGCAACGTGCAGGATCAGCCCAGCAGCTTTGTCTAGCACTGAAACTGTGTGCCAGGGACTGTGCACTCCATGCTGATCCACTCCAGTTCTCGCAGACACTCCTCTCAGCTGCTCTCTGCCTCCCACAACTTCTGCTCTGTCTTGCTGCAACACATTTTCCCAGTTTATAGTTTGATCTAGCACTAACTCCCAACCCAGCAGGGAAAATCAAGAGGAATTTGCAATCTGTAAAGACAACAGACCCAAATCGAATTTTGTTGATGCTTAGGTATATCCAATGCTGAAGATGGAGAAATCACTGATTTTCAGCAGGATTATGGTCTATTCACCCCTCTGTCCACAGGTTATGGCTCTAGGCTGGCCATGGTTAAAATGACTTTCTATTAGATCAAATCTAAGGTTCTTTTTCAATTACTTCCTTTAGTGCTCCCTGAAGGCTACTTTCTTTCCATGCCAGCGAGCAGTGAACAAGCCTCTTTTTCACACTGCCCTCTGCAAAGATGCTTCTTCTCTGATCTGAGTATTTTCCCTGTAAGGGGAAGCCTTTGAAACCCACCTAGACCTTTTCCAACCAGGCTTGGTAAAGGAGCTATCTGTGGTGACAGGCCGTGAGACATGGACACCTAGGATTCAGGGTCTACCTGATGAGAAGAATGTGGTGCATGGGTTGGGCCAATTTTGTCTCATCTTGTATGGCAAAACTCCAGGCATGCTCCAGAAGTGCAGGAATGTAGAAATTCGGCTGGCCTGGATGGCGACCAGATTCCCTCCAACACCTATGAGGGCAAAACACAGAAAATCTGTAAAACCACCTTCAGCACAGCAGGAAACATCAGTCTAAAACCTCGCACAAGGTGAGTCAATCTACACTCACTTACGAGCTCATTGAGAGCAGCAGTGAGAAAAAGAGGAAACCTGATCCCACATGTTAAGGGGATGCTGTGCTATTCAGTTTGCAGGAACAGCTCCTAAAAATCAGGAAGGTTCCAGTGATTGTCTCCTTCTGACTGCTGCACTGAAAACCTTTTCCCTTGCTCCCCAGCACTGGATGTAAATACCACGTGGCCTATGGAGATGATGTAATTGCACCTGGTTTGACACAGGCTGTTAAAAACACCTGGAGAAAGCAGTGCAGGCAGTGGCAGATGCTGCTCATGGCCACTTCTTGGATTTACTTACCCAGAGAATCATTATTGTTTGAGACAACAGACATCACAGAGAGTGATTATATGTGTGTATGAAGGCATCTGACTTTGTTAAATGAGAAGAAATCATGAGAATGAATTAGAGCCCAAATATGCTAGCTAATTAAAAGGAAATTAATTCCTTCCAGACTGATTAATTCTAGCAAACATGAAAAAGCAGCTACATTTTCCAGTAGAAAATAGAGGGATAATGATCTACAGAGTAAACCTCCACCACCCTGAGTATTTTCAGGGTAGAAATGTCACAGAAAAGATAAAAGTGAGCCAGATGCTGCAGGCTTCTCATGTTTCTCCTTCCTTGAAGTAAAAAATGCTCCATCATTAAATATGAGATTTTTCCAGATGGCAGACAAAAGGAAAATACTAAGATCATGTCGCTATAGCTCAAGATGGGAACTTTCTGAACCCTGCACTGCCACACTTTGCAGGACTCCCCTGCACATGCAAGTGAAGAGCTACTTGTGCAGAGACACAGAGCACTGCACAGCTCCACCACCAGCTCTGCCAAACAGGTCACCTGCCCCCACAGAGCAACATCTGGGTCAGTGATTGTTCAACTAAACTGCTGTTGATGTACTTTTCCAATCAGATTCATTGGCTAACCCTGCTGGAAAGGGTTTGTCAGCAAGGTGGCTGCTTTATGCAGATCCAGTAAGGTGACAGCTGGTGACACCCTCTGACGCTGCAAGATGACACCATGCTTTGAGAGTGGCATGAGGCCAAGCCTATCCTAAGAACATGGGGTTCCCTTATAACAGCAGAAAAATAAACCTGTGGATCCTCATTGACCCCAGGATTCCCAACAGTTTGTAATGATATCTGTGTGTATAAAAGTACTGTGAGGACTCCAATAAATATAAATATACACACAAAAGTTGATATATATATAAAAATATATAAATCCCTCTATATGCAACCCATATATATAATCTTAACATATCTTTACCAACAACCTGTATAGGGGATGGTTTCACAGCTCAAATTAGCAAGTGGAGGGAGAGTGACAAAGGAAAATGGATTTATTGTGACATCCTAATAGGTCTGATGTTGTGAACATCGTCAACATAGCTCTCAGAGACAACTATCAGATGCTGTTAACCTTTCCACAGCTCTGTCAGTATTTTCCAGCCCTACCTGCTGTTTTGCTCCAGAGACGCTTCAAGACATGAGTAAGCAGGGATGTAACAGGGACCAGTAGCTTCACTTCCACTCACGATGGGAGGAGGGACTTGAACTCTGACTTCTGTGTAGGGGCTACAGTGGATACCAGAACCTTTGGGGAGGAGGGGGAGGTACAAATAAAAGAAGAGAACCCCCCCCATGCCCAACCTACCGTTAATCACAGGTGTGAAAACTGCCATGCCTTCAAAGTTTGGGTCAGTTACAGTTTTGTCCAGGATGAGCCCACCAATGCTGTTAAAAAAGGACAGGAAATGAGTGTGGATCAATTCCTATGCTGTGAAAGTAGCACACTGAGATGGGTACTGCATCTTCCCCACTGCCAGGGCTGGACTATTCACCAGGTACTCCTTTTACAGCTCAGTCTCCACCAAGAGATAACCTTACAGCTTTTGTTAATGGCATAATGAGTTCACAGAGACCTCCTTGCCTGCCCTTAAGCAAAACTAGTAGTAGTTAGGGAAGTTTTTATCATCCTCCCCCAAAGTTTTGTTACACTTCTATACTGCCTTTAGCAATGCTTTAAAATTCTCTCCCAGATCTCAGTTGGATCTGAAACATGCAGCACAGGAGGAATGAACTACCTGCCTCTACATTCACCAGTCTTTTTGTTTTACAGTTGGATAAAAATGAAGTTGAAGCCTGACAATTCATGATGGTCATCATCTCTGTTTTCTGTTTCCTGGCTTGCACCCACATGGTGCCTGGATGTGAGTGAGACTTAAAATGGTTTTCTTTTTCCAGTGATTTGGAGACTCCTTATCTGCTATCTCACAGCCTGTTGGAGGGCCACCAATGGCTCAGAAGTTCTGGACAAATACCCCTCTGCTCCTCTTCCAGTTTCACTTTTGATGGCCTTCTAAGTGAGCACAGGGTCTCTCTGCAGTGTGAACACACGTGTGGGTTTGGGACCTGCTCCTTGGTTTACCTGCTGATGCTCATTGCGACAATAACCGGCTGCCATCCAGATTTCAGGACTTCGGCAAGAGACGGACTTTGCTTGGCAATAGCAATCCAGAGAGGGATCATGACAATGAAGACAGCGCAGATCAGAGGAGAAAGGTATTTCACATCTGGCAAGGAAAAGAAATCTTGAATTAAACGCTCATAGCCTCACAGGTTGCCAAAATCAAATTGCATAAAGATGAGAAGAAAGGCAGCTGGACTCTTGCTCCAACCGATTTATGTTAGTAGAAAAATCACATGAACCATTATGTTCCACACAAAACCACCTCATTCCACCACAGAAATCCATAATAAATCCCTGAAATTCACTGCTAGAGGATGCTGTTTGAAAATTAGCAGGATTCAAAGCAAGTTACATTTGAAGACGAACAAGTCTCCAATTCCATCTCCAACTAAGAAAGACATAAAGTTACAAAATTTCTGTCTTCAGGTACAGATCAAACAGCAGGGCAAGGGGGAAACTCCTGTGTGGAAGCTGTATCACACGTAGGGGCAGACACCTCACACCTTCACCTAAAACAAGAGGTAAGAGGTACTTTAGGTGGCAAGCTGGCAGAATTGCTGAACAGCTGGTCTGCTCTATAGGAACAAATGTTCTCTTGCACGTACAAGCCTGTTAAGATCTGCGGTTTCTTTTGTGCTAGCTTACATGTGTTTCCATTAGGTGCTTTTTCCATTCAGCAGAGGCATAAAATTGAAGTGATTTTTAGAAGCAAAGGAATCAAAAAATAAGCAAATGTGCAGCACTAAAAGAAAATAAATATGACTCAGAAGCATGAGAAACACCTTCAAGCAATGGGGCTGATGCCAACCCTTTCGACACAAAAATGCTTCATCAACAAAGCTCTCCATCTGGTCTCTGTGTTGGGGCCAAAGGCAGCGGGATGGAACACCGACTTTGCAGGTAATCTGGGAGACAAAGCAAACTCAGAGTGTGCATTTTTTAAAATGTCTTTCCCAGGGCCTTGGCCTACCTGGATGAGACAGCACTGATGTGATGACACCTTCCACGAATCAAGGGCTCTTACACAAGGATGTGCTCTCCTTATGAGTGGCTTTAGCGGGCACTGAAATGCAACCATTTCTGGGGTGTAAACAGCTGTAGATACTGTTGGGCCAGTGCACTTTACCCCCTGGAGTCATTCAGGAGAGATGGGCTGTATGACAAACTTAGCTGCTGTTCTGGGCCTCCTACCCACACCCCTTGTTGTTTCGAGCAATTAATTCCTTTCTAAATAATGCAGACAGAGAGCACTGGAGTCTATCAAGCCTTATCAAAGCCCACAGAGAGACTCCTGGTGGGATGAATGACCTTCAGTCTCCACATTCCAGTTCTGCCACATTCCCTCACACACAGCCCATAAACAAGCTGAAACCCTCTGGCACAGTTTGTATCTCCATTATGCAGGACTGAGAAGGATCAGAGTCAATTTAAAAAAAAAAATTAAAATCTTCACTGGCAAAAGGATATTTTGCAGAAGGGAATGGTGCTGCATCAGGTAGCACACAGTACTCCAAACTTACAGTCTCATCAGTGTTTTTGAAGGATACATTTTTGTAGGACCCAGAAGTTTTCACAGCATGACTGTACCTTCCTGTACACTGGAAAGGGAAATTAATTTATTCAGCCACCATCAGCAGTGCCTTCCTTGTACCTGCTTCACTTCATGCTCCCAATGATTTGGTGTCTTTGTGCTGAGTATTTGCAGTCTCAAGAGGATATTTAAACTACTCTGAAAACTGCAAAAATTCTCTCTGGTCACAACCATGGAGGTTATGACGTTCTTCTGCCCTGTGCTCCCTAGGAGATATTATCTGAGATATATTGACTGAAAGACAACCTAGCTTTACAGAGGAAGGTGTGATGGCATCATGGAAAAAGCCTGCTAAAAAAAAATGCACTCTGAAGCTCAAGGGGGATTAGACAGAAGCAACTCATAGGCCTCTCCCTTCAGTGTGTGCTCCTTCACTCCCTCGCTTGTGCTTACATATGGAACCAGTTATGCAAACTGAGAACAGCTGCCTCGCTGCTTCTGCTCAGTCTGAAGCAACAGTTTGAGTGTCAAATGGTATTGAGTTTGCTGATCTTTTTATTTTCCCATTTCTGTTCTAGGTTAGGCTTGTGGTAAATAGCCTAACACTTTAAAAGCAGCAGTCAGGCATATATCACCAAGTAGCAAGATGTTTTGGGCTTTTCAGAATCAACAGGTGCCCAAGTCTTTGCCAATCAGCAGCACAGCTTAACACCATAGCCATAAGTCCTACTTAGAGTCCTGCAAATATGAAACACTGCAGTCTTCCTTCTTCCAATCTGATGCCTTGTTCATCCATGACTCTCCACGTAAGAAGATACAAGAATATTTTAAAAATGCTAAAACCCAAAATCACTTTGCAAGGAAGGACCTGCTATTACCCACACACAGAAAATAGTTATGCTTGGCTAGTGACAGATCCAGGAACAGAGTCAGTGTCACATATGCCAACCTTCTGTTCCAAAGCTGCACAATATGTGTTGGCCATTTCTTTAACAGATCCCAGTTGTGTTTCTTAGAGCTCTGCCTTCCAGTTTGTTACTAATAGAAAGTCTGGAAAAAGCCTTTTTGGTCACCTTCCTACCCCAGCGGCACAACAGCCTCCATTCTGAAACATGCCAGAAACAGGGAAGCATCCTGCAGTAATTTCAGGTGGATTCATCCCTTCCTTGCTGAGCTGCAATTCCCTGCTAAACACTGTACCTATGTATTTGAAGAGTGTACTGCTGATTCCTGCCAGCAGGGAAAGGGTTATCAAGTCTCCAAGGCTTGCTGCTATGGGTGTGGCAACATTGTCTGGATTGATCCCAACTTTCCTTGCTCCGATGATCACGCCAATCATCACCAGACCTAGAGAAGACACAGAGCAAGCATCAGAGAATGTATCCCGCTGTGTTTCACCCCAGAGCTGCTGTTCTGGCTCTCAGAGGGACATGGGGGTCTAAGAAAAGCAAGAAGCAGATTAGCTGTAGCAGCACCACGCAGCTGGAGATTGGACATCCCCAGGAATTTGCCCTCTTGCTTTCACCAACCTGAGGGGCATGACTGCCCTTATGAACTGCTCCAAAGGCCCAGAGGCACACAGGCAAATTCCAGGGATCAAAGCAGATACCAGCAGGCAGCCTGAATGTAGAAGCTCCCCTCCTGAGCAGCCTAATCTTTGCTGCCTGGAAGGAGGACCAGGCATGAAACACACTCAGAGATAAGCTCACAGCAGGCATGCAGTAGCCTCCTGGTGCCATCCTCTGCTCTGGATTCCACAGCACAAAGATATTTTCCATATTAGACCAAAATTTCTCAAGTTTGAATCACTGAGGAGCAACAAACTTCCTTACAGTAGCCTGCATTAGCGTTCCAGCCCATCCATCAAACTGACCCCTCATGTCCCAGAGTCTTTGGGGCTGCTTTAATTCGCACTGTGTGGATCTTGATGCTGTGAGCATTATGGAGATGGCCCACGTCACCTCTCTTCCCTTGTCCTTTGAGCTGCACCTGGAAAATTTAGCTGCTTTTCAGCATTCTTGGAGAGGAGGGAGGTTTTTCTTGCCCAGGTAAGTTAAGGAGCACAAACCCCAACCCCGATGAACATGTGGGAATCTCTCAGCCATCAGATATCTCACAGGCCTGTGGATAAGCTACCTGGAATAAACCCAGCCTGGCCAGCCTCCACTGCTGTGTGACTAGCAAGGGCAGCCTTGAGACAAGACAAATGGCATCTTTTCAAAGTGCTTCCATGGCTGACAGTGCACAGCAAAGAAAGCTCAAGAGGTGGTGGTTCCCTCCAGCTCACAATTCCTCTGTGCCTGTCTACACAGCCCTGCCAAAGCTGACCATGCAGAGGATCATCAGCTCTCCCATAAGAAATGCCACATGTGCACCTTCCTTGATACAAAATCCCTTATATAGAAACACATTCTCGCACAACATGGCATTTCCACAAGAGTCATCCTAGACACCCACACTCCCCTCCTCCACAGCACAGTTCATGCTGCTTCCCTCCCTGGCCATAAAAATAGCAGCTTCCAGTCGTGCACACCCACACACAGGCTGCCTGTGACCATGTCAAGGGAAGAAACTAATGCCAGCTGCAAGCCTGTGACAGTACAGCAACAAAGCCTGTCTGTGTCACACCGAGCAGGGAGATTGTAAGGAAGAGTAATGAAAGCTGAGCTGCTGTTTTTAAAAACTGCCTCGTCCCATGCTTTTCATGAAAGGCATCTACATCACTCTTTGACTCCAGCTTCAGGATATGCACTTGTTCTAACTTGTTCCTTTCATTTAGAAAACTTGCTTTATTTGACTCTGCCAGCTGACTCTATTCAGGGTATCATGCTGCCCTCGTATGGCAGACCTACAAACTGATGATCTTCAGGCCACTCAGAACAGATCCTACCATCCAGCCCATCATGTTTCCCTTGAAGGGGAAGAACCAGGGGGGAGGAGTGCTGGGCTCTGAGCTCACAGCAGGCAAGCCACAGGGCTGGCCACAGCCCTGCCCAGGGTATTGGGTGACCCAAGTCCCTCTTGAGCATGGTCTGGAGTTGTCTGCTAACAGACTCTCCATTTCCTGCTTTGTGTATGACATTACTTCATCTTCCTCTAGCGAAAGGGCCAGTGTAGACAGCTCATGTGTCACCCAAGAGACATGGAGTAAGTATGTGCATGTTTATGCACACCCATGCACAGCATGGGGCATTTTTGGTGTGTCAGATGAAGGACATTTTGATTGCTGCTGTGGATGCCAAGAGCCCAGCAAACAACAGATCACGGGAGAAGAGAAGCAAAGGCAGGATGCAGAGGGGGTGAGAGCAGCAGACATAGGGCTAAGGCTCCCTGCATCCCTCCTCCCTCTGCCAGACCAGAGGGATGTCAGCTGGGTCTCCCCAGCAGAAGAGACAGTTTATTCCACACCTGACTGCTGCGTGTTTCATCTGAGGAACCAGAAAGACTCACCAAGTGACAGTGCGGCTATGAAGGCCGTGGTCACGCTGCTGGCACACAGCACAGCAGCCTGGCTCAGCTCCACAGAGCCCTTAGAGATGGCCCCCAGGATCACAGCAGCAACAGCAGCCAGCAGTCCCACCACAGTGGCCTGGACCTGGGGATCAAAAGACAGCTGGTGAGCAATCATCCATTTCTGTCTCCAGGCAGCCCTGGCTCCACACGACTGCAGCACTGCCACACAGCTCGGAGGGCAAAGCCTGGCACAGATGCTGATTGCTTATGTATTTAAGCAGCATCCCTGTGAGGCTCCACTAGATTCAAAAGAAATCCTGACAAAGTTTGGAGAAAAACTCTGGAGGCCTGCAAAGGCCAGATAACATTTCAGCAAAGCACACCGAGTCCATCAGAAAAGGAGTAGCCCTGGTCAACACAAAAATGGGCTCCCCATCAAGGCAGCACTCCTGAAAGCGGAGGAAGGAGATAAGGGAAAGCACACAGACACATGTTGCAAGCCTTATGGTCTTGCCATGTGAAAACTCTAGGCTGGTTGCTGGATTTTAACCAGCAGAAAGACCTACAAGAGGCACATTTCTCCCACCTCTCCCCTCCTGCCCAAGGCTGATTCCCAGACACTGCCAGTAAATGACAGGCTTTATCTGGGGCTGTTGTGAAACAAAGATTGGTGCTGTAGCTCCCCCTGGAAAAGGAGGTTTTTTATTATTTCGGTTTACCCACAAAGGCAATGAATGTCTAGATGTATTTTGCAGCTAAACTACAAGCTGTGGGGTCACACAGAGCTTTATTGGAAGTAAAGCCCTGGCTCTGCTTGGCTCTGTTGACAATACCCACCCCAAATCACCAGCTCTGGGTTCAGCACTGCTGGGAACAGGTGCTGTTGGTCTGCAGCACAGCAAGAGAAAAGGGACTTTTTCATCTCCCAACTGAAGTGACTCACTTGGATAAGAGCTAAATTGCAGGTGGCCATTTTCCATTGCTTCTGGGCATCATCCATCTGTCCGGTGTTAGCCTAGGAGTCAAGAGAGATACCCTGAAAGCCTGTTTCTGTGGCACAGGTGGCTGCTGAGGGCAGTTTCACCTGATCCCTGTGGGAAAGAGGCTGTTAGAGAGAGGCAAGTGCAGGTCATCATCTCCCAGCCTTCCCTGCACTTGCTTCTTGACACTTCTCCATCGTGCTCTAGCCCAGTGTCCCAGGGGCATCAGAGGCTCACACGGGAGATGCAGAGGCATTACAGGGCACCCAGCTAAAGGTGGAGTGGGCATATCCACCACATCCCACACAGACAAAAAGATATACACATTAAACCCATTTTCCTTCTTTGTTTCCCCTAAATTGCTCTGTTGAGCTCCAAGTTCTGCTGAGATGTGATATAAACAGCCCAAAGTAAACAAAACAGCACAGGGAGATACACGAGATCAAATACAGAGTAGCAAAAGGTGCTGCACATTCCAAGAAGCCTCAGGCCACTCCCCCAGAGTAAGGATAGCTGGGAAGCCCCGGCCTCTCAAGGATCAATACCCACAGAAAGGCAATCCAATACTGCAGCTGACAGCTGTGGAGCCCTGTCTTTGTCTCCTTCATGTGTCATAGGGCCCCAAATATCAGCAACTGGGATTAATTCACCTTCAAAGCACAGATGGAAATTCTCTGTTCCAGTTACAAAATGAGGGCAAACACATTATTTTAACACTCACACACCACTAGTTTCCACTTAGCAGAAAAGGGCATATCTCATACATATTGTGATTATATAAATGAAGAATCTCCTGATGTCTCCTGCTAATCACCCCCTCCCCACAGAGACAGCCACCACCTTGTTAACACTCACAGCAGTAGAGAGCCTGGATGCCAGTGTCATCTCAAGATTACCCTTCAGGCCAACCAAGGCAGGAACCAAGATAAACACTTCGGTAATTGTCCGAAACACATCCCAGTGCTGTAAGAAAACAAAGACAACAACTTCAGTTTATGATGCTGACCAGTCCAGTGCTGTTTCTCTACAGGTATCTGCACATGGGGGCAGATGCTGCCCTGTTGCACTTTGTTGTTGCATTTTGGGAGTGAAGGAAGGAAGGAATTTTCAGCTTGCAGTGTTCTTTCTCATCTCACACACAGTAAAGTACTGTCCTAACAGGGAAGGGTCTTTCTTCTTGAGGGTAACAGAAGATTTTGGAAAGCCACAAATTAAAATGTGCCTTTTGCATTAGCCAAGAATAACATGAAAAATAATTAGGGTTCACAAGTCAAATGAAATACAGCATGTTCTCCATCCGTTGCACTGACACTGGATACAGGAACATCTATTGCTGAACAGACTCATAAGAATAAACACAAAGATCTGGAAATGATCTAACAACAAAAAGTTGTGTCTGTTTTCTCTTACCAAACTTCAAACTAAGCATCTAAGACTCGTGGTGGAAGGGAAGGAGATTTGTGCATCTCTTCTCCACAGGCAGTTCCTAAGTCTTCTTGTTACCAAGTATGTTCCCAGCACAGTTGGAAAAAGGATTTTATCTCATAAGCCAAACAGCTGAGCCTGTATCTTCAGTATCTATCAACTGTTGTTGCTTCTCCAAAGCTGAACTGTTCAAAGCTGTTGGATCAGCTGCAACACTAGAGATGATCTGAAATTTCAAGAAACTTTGTTGACTGACATGTCTTCTCTAATTTATGGACCATACAGTGCCTTGGAACATAATTCATTTCCCCTCCCACCATGCATTCAAGGATGTTGGCAAAGTCCCACTGTAGGCAGAGAGGTTCACACCAGAATAAAATCACAGAATGGGGCAGCTCAGTGTGAAGTAAAAGCAACAACCACCTAAGAGCAGAACACAAGAAAAAAAAGAACGACTGCCATGAGTCAGGTCAAAGGTTCATCTAACCCATCCTTAGCTCTACCAGTAGTCAAATTTGGGTGTATAAAAATAGAATCCAAATATGACAAGTAAATGCAATAATTATCCTGTGTATTTTCCAGCCTATGACTGTCTGCCACAGGGTACAGAGCTGGTGGGTTTTTTCTGCACACTTACCGGTGATGCAAGGATTGTTCTTTCAGGTGCTCATCCAATCTCCCCCCTCCAACCTATGTGCCATCCTGTGGCAAAAACTTCCATAGTTTAGCTACGTGTCATGTGAAGGATCAATGTGTTCATTAATTTCAACTTGTCACTCTCTAGTATCCCATGATGGTCCCTAAATCTGGCGCTAGAGAACAAAACAAACAACAGATCCCTGCCCACCTGTTTCACATCCATTGTGATTCTGTAAACCTGAAAGTCTAGGAGGTTGGACAGACTCAATAAATGTTGACACATTCAGCTGTCTGCCTGTTAGGAAATATGTGCAGGGTGTAACAGCTTGGTGTTTTGCTTTGGCTGTGCCATGGGAAGCTGTGGGAAGCCAGTGGTGTGGTCGTCTGCTGGGAAGACCTCACAGCTTCCTTCTCAGGAAGCTGGAATGAAAGTGGGGCTGAGCCAGCCCTGAGCACATTGGGCAAGACACCCCTCAGACATGCAGATAAGAGGCAAAACATTATTATCAATTTAAAAAAGGCATATTTCCTGGCAGTGGTGGCCTGGAAACAGGCACGTTTCAAAATGTTAAAGGTGAGTTAATTACTGTTGAGTAAATAACCAACAACACACAACAAAAATAATCACCTTATTTGACATACTATAATTTCATTTAAAGTTGTTAACATGGAACCTAAATACCTGAGGAAAGCTAGGGGTGGACATCTCTTTTAAAGATTAATATCCCTGTCTCTCCTCTCTTTGATTAAAAATAAAGATCCAAACAATCTTTGATATCCTTCAAAAGAAAGAGGAGAAAAAAGCAGACTTCATAGTCACAATGTAAAAACCCCAAACATTTTAAATACAGAGGTGTGAAGACATTCATACTTAAGACCTTGCATATTTTGCATAAAAAAGACATATAAATAAGAGCACCCCTCAAAACCCCTCAACTGTTCATGTTTCCTGCACCTGTCACCTTTGGGAAATATGATTTTGCTATATCTAGGTAAGCTCCAATACTTTTGTTCATGAGGAATTTTGGTTTCAAACCATCATAACAGAAGTTTCAGCATATGAGGTATGAGTTTTTTGGGACTCTTCCTTATGTATCATTAAACTTATAGGCTCTGAACAATTAATAATCACACAACTGTACTGATAAAAAAAAGCTGACTTAATTGCCTCTATTTGAGTTTCATTAGTGACTCACCAACAGCCTAAGGACAGATTCATAATGATTTCTACCACAGTACCCAGGACTCCATCGTGTTAGCAACTGCAGAAATACAGAATAAACAGATGTGCCTGTGCCATCAACTTGCAGGACTGTCGGGACTTTCTGCTGGAGGAGTGGGTGAGTGGGGCAGGTTAGAGCTATGCAGGCAAGGAACTACTTGAATAAAGACAGCAGAACTAAGTCTAGGAATTGTCTCTGTCCTTGGAGATGAAAACTGGCCTAGAAAGAAAAGAAACATTCCACGCTGCATTGCAAACCCACACAGAGAGCCAGAAGGAGACTCTTTCCAACTTCACATCTGCATGACAGAGCTTCAGCCCTAAAACTGAGCTCTGAAGACACTTGGTTAACCCCGTGTTCCACTGCAGCTGGTCCCCACAGCAGCTGGATCTGACCAGGGGGTCCCTCAGAGGGAGGCAGGCTGTGATGTACTGAGCCAGCCTCCCCAGCTGCAGTCCAGCCCTGCTGTGGATCCTCACATTGTCCTACCTGTCCCAACCATGTCCTGTTACCTCTCCAGGACATCCATCTCCCACGGCAGCAGCTAAGAAGCCTCAGAGATTTTTCATTGCTCTGAACAAGCCAACAGAAATACCAAAATATCCTGGAAAACAGCATGCAAGCCATTACAAAATCATTTATGATGCACATCATCTCATGGGCTTTTATCAACAAAGGACAGGGACGTCTCATGTCTGTGACTTTTATGTGGACTGTGTCCCACTGAACTGGAATGGAAGTAGAGAACGAAATGGAAGCTTTCCTCCTGAATTCTCTGGTTTGAAATCTGATCATCCAAATTCAATCTGATTCTTCACCTTAACGTAAAAGAGTGGGCCAAACTCTGGCAGGCCCCTGCAAGGTCTCCAGAAATGCCAATCAGCCTAGAATCTGGATCAACCAGCTGGCCAAGGATCACTGGAGTAGATGCATAAACATCCAGCAAGAAAAGGCTGGTGCCATGCTATCAGCCCTGCAGAGAGACTGCATCATCTGCACGCCCAGGAAGAGAAAAAGGCAAACATCTACTTCCTTGGGTATCTTTTTATTACAGTATGAGAGACTCAGGTTTGAGCCTTAGAGTCAACTGGGTTAGACAAAACTCTCTTGCTGATTTTTCTTGCAAACAGTAACATGAGCAGTTCTTGGTTTCATCCCAAGATGGATCAGAAACTGCTAAAATCCTGGCAAGTTCGATAGGACACAGATTAGCAATTTCCACTTTGTTGTCCTCTTTACAGCAACATCAGCCCTGAAAAAGAAAGTGTCAGCTGGACTCCCAGCACAGAGCCAAATTATTTCAAGATATTTAATATGTAATAAAACAAGAGCAGCTGCATTAAACTCACACATATGCTCTTGATACAATCCTTGCACTTGCCCATATATCTCTCCGTCAAAGGCAAACACAGTTTCCTAAGAAAATTTTGCAGTGACTGCAAACAGGGCAAAACATTCCTCAGCCAGACCAACCACTGAAAAAATGGGCAAATCACAGGCTCCTGGACCAGAAAAACCTGTAGTTTCAGTAGTGTGAGCCCTCATGATTTGCAATCTAAGTTTTACAGTACCTCAAGCAAACAAACTTAGACTCAAGTTTTAGTTGGGCAGGACAGTGAGTTTCTAACTCTTACACTTGCATTAAGAAAAGTTGAAAATAAACAGCTCAGAGACAAAGAAGAGTATTCCAAACCTTTAAAGGCTAAGATCTCTGGATTTTCTCAGCTACTAGTTTTGGTTTTAATGTTGTTGATACTGTTGCAGTTCACCTCACTAACATCTCTCCTGTGCCAACTGTGACTCTCAATGCACTGGGCTTCCTCCTCTGAGAATTTAACCCGTGGACTGATGGCCTCTCTTTCAACATAGTTGGAAAGACCTTCACCAAAAAATACAGTTCCTGTGGTTGTGCTTTATGTGTGACTCAGTTTCAAAGAGTCCAATGAACAAATAGACAAACTAGATTGCACACTGGTATTTAAAGGACATGTGCAACATGGTATACCTGTGTTTTCCATCAGGTTGGATACAGTTACATTTTTGAACAGACACCCGTTCTTAGCAAGTGTGTTCGATTTCTTGTAGGCAGAGACCTCTTCACTCCAAGGCAGGTACTATGACTTTATCCTTCTCTGAGATAACTGCTAACCACTAACATTACATCTTGGGTACTTTGAGAACTTCTGTAATGCTGCAAGACAGGTCTGTGCCTAAGCACGGCACAAGGTGGGGATGACAAACAGCACAGCAACAGTGTGTGCCACTTCAGTTAACCCTTCTTTGATATTCCTCATACTCCCTTTAAGTCAGCTTCTCTGTCTTCTTTGTTTCTTCCAATGCAAGAAAAAAACAGCAAGGTATTGTCTTTCCAAACATTCAAGTATCCATATTTAGCTCCTCTTGTGGTATTAATGCCAGAGAATCCAACGCACTACAGTGAGCTCAGACTGCAGGATATATCCTTGGGAAAATCTGCCAGCCTTCTGATTTGTAAATCCACTGGCATGAGACACCCAAACTAGATCAAATTCTACATTTCTATTTGTGCCACCAGTACAAAGGAAAGACAGATGGGATAGACTCTGATAGTGGGCACAATGGTGTAAATGCAGCAGCATTGCCTGGAAGTCAGTGAAAGTTATTCAAATTTATACGCACCTCAGAAGCTGTCTGAGAAGCACTCAGTTTGCAGGCAATGCTAATTGTTTTATGCTGGCAAGCCTCTCATAACAATATCTAAATGCCTTCTAGACCAAAGACTACATTACATTGTTTGCAAAGAACTGAAAGCACGGACTTTCTTCTAAGTAAGACAGGTAGCTAATAACAACCCTGACCTAGATCTCCTTATCAGCAATTTTTGAAGGAAAAAAATAATATCATGCAACAGGGGAATATGCTGCAGTGTGATCCAGTTGCTTCACAGCAGTCATCACCAAAGTGTTTAGCTCAATACAGAAAAGGGAGCACTCAGTCTAATGCACCAAGGTCAGTGTTACACAGCCTGTCTGAAAGCTGCTATCCCACTTTACAAGGAGCCCAGCTACTGATCTAAAGAATATGGATAGTGTATCTCTGGCACACAAAAAAAGCCTACAGCCATCCTGCTGACTGGCTGCTAGGACCATGCAAATTAAAAACAAAAAAGCACAAATAGTCAAGGTCAGTGTCTTAGCCCACCCTCTCACTACAGGTTTCCTAACCACATGTACCTACTTGAACAACATCCATCAAAAGGCCAGCAGCTACCATTCCCAAGCCAGCCAGAAGGAACGGCACGAAAATCTGGGAGGCAATGGAGAATGAAGTCTCTGGGAGAAATCCACTGGCTGATCTGGTCAACTTGCAGGTGAAGCCTCTCAGCTTCTTGCCGTGGAAGCACAGTTCCAATTGTAACTGAGTGACCACCATGGTCACACAGTTACCCCATGCTCAGCAGGGAAAATGGAGGGAGATCAGGACATCACACAGATCCTTCTTGTAGCTCTCTCCAAAGTCGGAAGAAATGTTTTTCCTCAAACTACAGCGACGATGCCAAATTGCTTTAGCTTCTTCTTCTCTTAGGAGCTCGTCCAGAGGATTGTAGCAAGGGTATCCTCCAAAACTGATTCAGCTGGGTTGAGCTCAGGTGGCAGCAAACTTGATGGACACAATTTCTCTGATTTATATCCAGGGGGGAATTAAAAAAGAGAAGAGAAGATTGTAGAGATGTCTGAGGACGAATAGAAATGAGCCCACACCCCATTCAGCTCCCACCACTTCGGCAAAAACCAGTAAGACCTGCTCAGGCTACGGCACTGAAAGAGTGACAGGTCATGCAAGAATCCCTCAGCCTGCTGAAACGCACTGGTGTCCTTTCTCCTCGGGTTACATTTCTTGTCAGACCGCGGCTTGCGTTTGATACGGTGGTTTAATATGTAAGCCTGCTTGACCCAGCCTCAGTCCCCTCACTCTCCCACCGTAACCGCTGCTGAACTTTTCTCACTGTCCCAAGGCCGAGGAGGTGGGCAGTTAACAACCCTGATCCATTTTGTGCTCCTTCAAGGTGAAGAAAGGTCAAGGAAAACACGGGGCAACGTTCCTCCCAGCCGACGATATTACACAGGTCTCATCCCCAGGCAAGTGACACGGCTGAGCCAGCTGGTGACAGAAGATCTGCACTTCTGGACCCCAGCCCCTCGTGTCCCCTCCGTGGTCTCCGCGGGATATAACAATCGGTCTGTGCCAGCTGTACCTCTGAATGACTGTCTCTCAGAGGAAAAAAAAAGTTCAGAGAACCAGCCAATGAGCTTCAAAAGTGAACACCCTTATCTGCTGTCATCACTTCAACTTTCTGCTAGTTTGCAAAGGCCAAGATAAGAGTCATAGCCTGAGCTTATTTAAGGTAGCTCCATAATCTCACTGTACCACAGGCAAGGGAGAGAAAGGGCACTCAGTGAGCTGGTGTCCCTTCCTGTCCTAAAGTGAAACACAGTGCTTCTGCATGCTCCCGGGAAAGTGCTGTCTTTGGGAGGGAGGATCTCATCCCAGAGACTCCATGATCTGACACAGGGTCAAAAACCAGAGCTGCACTATGGCCACATATGGCCAAAACATTTTATCCTGCTCAGTAAAGGCTTCAGCTCAAAGTCACACATGTAGAGAAAGGAGTCAGGATATTACGTTGGGGCTCCTTTCTAATAATTAATTTGGGTAGACTAATTAAATCAGAGGGTCAAAAGTTTTAAAAAAACACAATTTAGGATGGATCAACCCCTTTCCAAACACTCTGTGCAGAGAGACATAAAGATTAATGAGTTATGGATTCTGTCCTTGTGACAGGGTCCCCAGATTGGAACTAAATGCATTGGGGGAGTTGAAGAGAACAAGACATGCTTCTGCCTTTCACAGTCAGAAGACTGCAGATAAATAGGAAGCTCTTGGACATTTAGACAGTGTTTCTTTGGTCTGAATTCACACAAACCAAAGTATGGAGCCTAACAGGCTGAGATGGCAGAGCAGATCTCCCTGCAAGCATGGTGGGGTGGAAAACAAGCCCCAGCTACAAACATGAGATTATCCTTTGTTGCTTTCTAGGCTTATATTTTGGTACAGCCCCTGAAGTCTTCTCCAGTTCCAGCTGCCTTGGTATGTACACACGTCTCTTACACCTAACAATGGTCCAGTTAGCTGAAAGCCAACAGGAGAGTACATTTCAGCTAATCTAACTGAGAAAAAAAAACCACAATAGCTGGAAGCCAGAGATTAATAAAAATCCTGTAATAACCACACATGACCCAACCTCTTTATATCAGCTGGGAGCAGAGAAGTGACAGCATGAAAGCCTAGTTCTGGATAGTAACTCACAGAAGCTTCAAGGAAATAAAAGACAATTTCTGGAAAACTACCGTAGGTTTTCAAGGTCTAATAATGCACATACCTAGTCCCACACACCGCTGTATCAGTCAACTGGATTGATGTCAGGAAGAAACGTTAACGTAAAGAAAATATCAGTGAGTCTGAATGACTCAAATGCCATTAAAAAAACAGAGCAGCAACACATCCTGTACTGAAGCATCGGCCTGGCAGGGTTTATGAGTTTATCACGCTTCGGCTCTCCCTGTTTCTAAGCAAGCACCATAAAAAGCCCTCAACCGATGAATCAGTATGCAGAGAAGGTAACTGGTGCAGGTGACCTGCGTGTGTACACTGGGTCATTTTATTACGCACTTAAGGAGCCTCTGATAAAGATCCGCACCATATTTGTCAGCAAAGAGATGCCTCATATTTTCCTGGCAAAGAGATATACCATATTTGTCCACAGAGAGATGCATCAGGTTTGAGAAGAAAGAGAGCATTGCTCAACAGTGGGGAAAGGATTATAACTAGCTGGTGAAAAAAACCCCAAACCAACCACCTTATTTTCGTACCACTCATGAGGGCAAAGCCTGGGGAAGTACACTGTATCGCCATGCTTGCAAACTAGCCAACAAGTAGCATTGCCATGGAGGAGTCAAAGTAGAAACAGATTTTGGTGAGTCCTGACCCTGATCTAGGGCCTTCATCCACATGGAATAGAAAGATGACAAGTGCCAGAGAACACAGTTTCATATGTACCTTATCATCCCTGCAAAGCAGAGACAGGAATACCAGTGAATGCTTTCACAACATGCCTGTTAGCAACAGGCAGCACTATTCCAACACCTTGGACTCATGGGAGGAAGCTGCTTTTCAGGGACTGCACATCCCGTTTGTTCGAATACTATCACTCCTGACTCTTCTCTTCCCCTCTTTGGGAAAGGGCAGAGCAGAGAATTTAAGTGGGGAGACTGAGAGCAGGCAGATGTAGAGTGCCCGGGGCTCAAAGCTTCACAACAGCATCCACTGTTGTTCCACAGAAACAAGAGCAGCAGCCAGGACAAAGGTCAGGACTGGCTCAGGAAGGAAGGGCAGTTTCCAGCAGCAGCGAGTCCATGATGAGACACGCTCAAGCAGCCCGTGATCTTGCACGAGCAATCTCTGTGCTAGTTGCCAAAGGCCTGTGCTTTCTACGAGATGTGGTATGGGTTGATATCCCAGACTAAGTATTAACACGACAGCTCTTTGTGAGCTCTTTATTTGCAAACACAGAAAGCAGAATTTTGCAGTTTCAGATGAGAATGAAGTTTGCCTCGCATTTTGTTCATATTAGTGGCCCAGTTCTTCCTAGGGAAAAAACAAAAACCCACAAAACCAAAACAAAAAACTAAACAAAAAACAAACAAAAAACCCTAAAAACAAAACAAAAAACAAACAAAACAAACAAACAAACAGAAAACCAGTTCCCAGGGAAGAAACACTCCTCCAACATCAGAAACACATCTGCAACCTATTTCACACTTTAATAACTCACAATAGGAAGCAACATACATTAAACGTCAGAGATCCACAGGACTGGGCAGGTCTAAACAGTCTAAAAAATAGAATTTGAAGTGGCTGTTCAAGACTCAAGAGTTTCAGAATAATGTCTAAGGAGGTAAAAAGTAGTTTGTCACTGGGTTCTGGCTTTGCCTTGGCATTTTGTGATCTAATGAGACATTCTGCTGGGTATTGAGTACATGCTAAGGTCAGTTAAGGATACTGTGTCACTCTTAAGCCTTCATAGCTCTTCTAGCTTAGGGAGATCAACCCTGGGTTAATAACAAAGGAACACAGCTCCAGATTTGTGAAAGCTGTCAATGCAAGCACAGTAGTTTCAGTGTCACTGTATCAGATAGGTCGGGGTAGTCTGACCTCACAGCTAGTTAGTTAAATAACAAGGGTTAAAAAAAAGGCATGCAGCAGTGAGAGTCACACGGAGTGCAAAGGCACAGCAATTTATAATCTGGAAATAAACTGTATCTTTAAACTATCTAAAATTAGGTGCTCACCACTATCTTAAAGCTCGGTATTGCTGCACCATAGGAGAGAAGGTCTCATCCTGATCATCGCAGAATCAGAAATTGAACTGAACAAATTCAAGTCATCTGTATGAGGCCTTAGACAAGGCTGTGGTGCAAAGGCTGCGCTGGGCTGGTTGTATGAAGTGTTAACAGTGCTGGGCTGGCTGATGCCTTGCACAATGAAGCAGCAGATGAAGGACTGTCCAGAGCTACATCCGTGAGTGATACCACTCTCTCTGCTGCAGGAAAGCACTGTGTCACCACAGCCCTTGGGGCTGCAGCTCACCCACCCTCTTTCAAGGACCCAGGTGAGGCCTTTGCACAGGACTGCACGTTCCTACAGAGATACTTCATGTCCTTCGTGTACACTTTAGTACCATATTGTCTTTTTTCTCCGGGGGAGAAAAGGGGCCAAAAAAACCCCACATGCTGTCTCCTGAGAGCCACAAGAAGTACTTAATAGCTGACTGAAGGACATGGTGGCACGTGAAACTGTGGCAAATCCTCCCTTACTGTGCCACTCTTGGAGCAAATCCTCTGCCTCTGAAGAAAAGTCCCCCACTTATCCCATACCAGGTATGTCAGATGAGTTTCTTCCCCTTACCTGAACATAATCCAAAACCATGCCTGCCAAGACCATGCCAAGCCCAGCTAGGAGGTATGGCAGGAGCACTTGCAGGCAAATAGAGATGGCTGACTCTTCCTGTGACTTTGCCGTGGCCACTTTCTCCTCAGCCAACAGCTTCTGCTGTGCGTGCAGAGAGACATCCTCTGCCTCCTGGCTGCCAAGTCGGCTCTCTCTGTGTTTAGCCTTGCTCCTTCCTTTGTGCCTGGAGCGCTCTCCATTCTTAGTCCTGCCCTCTTTCCTCCTCTGCCGAACTTCCTCGCCTTTCATGGTGGCTTCCTTGAATCACAGTTTTTCTGAAAAACAAAGTGAGAAACAATGAGATAACAAAAAGAAGCATCAGGCAGGTAAGAGACAGGAAATCCTTTGGTATTTTGTGTACTCCACTAAGCTGAAGGCAAATAACCACCTACTCCCCAAACCCAAAACACTCTGCTGGCCCAAATACTAGTACTTTCAACTTTGTATAGCATCCAACCAAGCTCCCTTTCTGTAATAGCATCTCATCATAGTCCCGTGTTCTCACTAGAGTGCTTGTTGTGCATCCTGGCTCTTACCCTGAGAACAACTAGAAGAATCCAGAAGGTGCTGCACATGGCCTGAACCCTTGGGATTTTCTGAACCATTGGGAGACACAAGAACTTATGAACCCAGAAGGATTCAACTCTTTTCAGGGTCTGATCCCTAGCTAAGAAATGGGAGCAGCTGGCATCCTTATATTGTAGCATCCTACAGTCACACCAAGGACTGGCATCCAGGTATGTACTATACATAGTACCTAGCATAGTACAGCTAGATGTCCACCATTCCTCAGTAACATGGTAATTCTTTGATCTTCTCTCTAATCTGGAAACCCATCCTACTTTGTCCCTTAGCTGACATGCATACACTACGTGACTCATCTGTCTATAGAAAAGCTGCAATGACCCCATAGCATATTATAAGAAAAAAAAACAAAACAACAAAAAACCAACAGAAAACCATGAAAAAATTGTTACCATTAGCCTTATTCCTGCCATCACATCTCATTTCTTGATAAAACTGCCATTCATACTGCCTGTCCCACTGCTGGCCCAGGCAGTGTCCCGAATCTTCCCCCATCACCTCCTGCCAGCATCCTCTGTGTTAACCTCTGCCAGATGTTCCCTGATGCTCTCATTTCCAGGATGGGCCCCCAGCTCTCCGAGCCCCTGCGCTACGCCAGGCAGGGACCAATCCTCTTCTTGCCCAACATCTGGCGAGCAGAGGAAACTGCTGGGAGGCCCCAGCCACGGCTGCAGAGGGCGGGGGGGCAGAGGGATGGGCAAGACAAAAGTCCTCCTTGGCGGGAGGAGGAAACGCGGCCCCCGTTCCCCCGCGGCGCTTACCGGCTCGGTGCCCTGCCCGTGCCCTGCCCGCGGCGGGGCTGTGCCCGCAGGCCCAGCCGGGACGATGCGAGCGCGGGAGGCGCCCGCCACATCTGGGCGCGGCGGACGCGGCTCGGCGCCCGCCCTGCGCGGCGGCCGCGGGTTCGAGCCCGGCCCCCGCCCGCGGAGGCGGCGCGGAGCCGTGAGTGGCAGCCGGCGGTCCTGCCCCGGCGCCGTGCCCGCACCGCGGCTGCCGCAAGCCCCGCGACGCGCTCATTCCCCCCTGGCTGTACCAGGGCGGACAGCCCCAGGCGGGGATGGAGGACTCCCAGCTGGGACGGGTCCCGCTCGGGGAAACAGCCCTCGGGATGCCCCGAACACCCCCCGCTCCCCATCCGCCCGATCCTCCTGCCGCCCCCACAGCCCGCAGCGGATGGTAGGGAAAGAGTGACAGCTTTTAGCGTGGGCAGCGCAAACAGGAGGCTGCAATTAAGAGCTGCGGAAAGACGTTTCCTCTGTTTGGGTTTGGTTTTTTGTTTTGGTTTTTTTTTTCTCTCCTCCTTATTTTGGCATTTGCAAGAGCTCGTGTTGCAAGCTTCCTGTGCAAAAGCCTGCCTCCACCAAAACTCCTGTTGATTTGGTTTAGCTTTTCTCCCCCTCCCATTTTGAACCAGCGTGTTAGAAATGTAAGTGAAGCATCCGTCACAATTAAGCACATAAATCTCATTAAGCTGTGGAGTAACCATCCTCATGCAAGTCTCCTGAATCATGCAGCTCAAATTTCCAGAACAATTGAGGATATTAAATCATACCTCAGCACCAGAGTAAACTTATATCCTGTGTGAGTCTCTCGGATGTCACACTACGTTAAAGGGCTCTTAGAGATAAAACGGTGCTTCTAGCTCAAAGCAGGGCACACCAAAACGAGTTGAAGGTTTTTGTAAGTGGCAGTAATGAAACCCTGGCAGCTGCTGTGTGTTGAGGGTGCACGTTGACTGCTGAACGTCACTCTGTAATGGCAAGGCTTAAATTTCAGCTCACTTGGTGTAATTTTATGTCTTCAGTTTGCAACTGATGCTTCCCTGGGAGTGGTCAGAAGACGGCGTCTTAGTGCGAGAAATAGGAGGGGAAGGAATGCGGTTTAAAAAAGTATCAACATTGCCAAGACAGTTTTAGACCTGATATTCTCCTATTACTTTACCACTGAGGTTCAAAGGAAAATATCTACAGAGCAAGCAGAAAGTCTCCTGGGGAACTTGATTGACAAGGGCATTTTGGTAATGGTTCCAGCTCAGGAATGTAACCGCTCCACCAAGAATCTCCCACCTGGGTCTAACCAGGCGCTACAACAAGAGCTCCCAGCTCCCTGCCAGGCCTCTTTCTGTGGGCAGAAGACCTGTTTGGCTTGTGTACCATGACCTCGTGTACCAGGCTGAAATCCCTGGTGCATCCCCAGTGGGTATATATTTGAGCAGGCTGCCTTTCAGCAGTGGCACAAAGCTGCACTTTCTCGGAAGTGCAGCAGCACTGTTTAGATAGATCCTGGCTTTGACGTAAGGGAACAGTGGCTGGACCTTGATTACAAACAGAGCTCCTGTGACTCTTTCGATAGGACAGCTCAGCTGCTCCCTGCAGCCTGGGAAGTGCCTGTTGGCACAAAGCTGACCGACTTCATGATAAAATGTTTGATCTCCTCAAGGAGTTACAACTCACGTGTGCTGCTTTTCTCTGCTCTCTCACAGACGTGCAGGCAGCACCAGCAGGTACAAGGGCATTTGAGGACTCACTGCATGCATTTCTGTTTCTCTCCACAGTGCTTTTGAAGAATGTTTCTTTCAGCAGGACAAAGAGAATAAGTTTGGTATTTTCTTTCTCTCCTTCACATTGCTTCACTATTGGACTTTCTTTCCAACAATTATTCCTTCAGCAAAGAAGAGTGGAATTATAGAGCTTTTTCCAGTATTGTGTCTGAAGATGTAACTTTTTTCCCTTCCCAGTTTTCTGTTATAAAATGACATTTCTCAGGTAACCAGGGACTACTGGAAACATTTCTCAAATATAAAGCTTGATTTATGACTTGAGTTAGCCCTGGTGACAGACTTTGTTTGACTGCTGGGCCATGCAAGCTCTCATGTCACCACTGAGGCTGCATTAAGGCTGCTGGAGGGTGATCCATGGCTCACTGGGCTGCAGTTCCATCAGGGGACATGCCTCTGGATACCCAGTGGCTGCAGTTCAGGGATGCATAAAGAAACATCCAGTCTCTAACCTTTCTCCTTTGTGAGACAGTGTT